AAATGAGATGCCCAATGTAGGCTGTAGTACGTGTGTTCTCCCTAATAACAAAGGGGATGTTTCTGGCGTTGCAACACCCACTGAAAAGCCAACGAAAACATAGCTGGAGCAGGTGATAATTGAAAGTGTGCATCCAGGGCAGGAACTCGAGCAGCACAACAAGTCCCTGGTACTGCAATCGCACGGTGTGCAACATCCAGCTCCTGTGGCTCCGAAGCACAGGGAGCCACATGCCAACGTCTATGAGCAAAATGGATGGCTAATAAACACAAGTGAGACCATGGAGAGAATTTGGAGGTGAATTTCCAAATCTAATCAAATCTGAAATCTTTACCAAGGGCTTCTGTCATATTCGTAGCAGGCATGATTTGGTTTTCTATTATATATTCATATGCCTCCACTCAGAACAGACGTGTTTCATTACAACAGGTTCAGCTGTGCTTTGCAGCCCTGCTTCATTTCCTCCACAGCAAATTCTTCAGATTAACCTGACACATTTATTCCCCTGATAATATATCCTGTCTCTTCTGATATCATTACCAATTTCAAGCACATAGCAATAAATAGGCTTAAAATTTTTAAAACAAAGTGACTTGAAAGCTTTCTTGTTCCCACATTTTCTTGGTACAACACATTTCACTTCACAAGTATTGTTGTAAGATTCAGCTCAAGTAAACATAAAATAAATTATTAAGCTTCTAACCAAAAGCTCCCAGACCTAAACCCTCTCTTTATTGACTTGAAGAGCTCCAGCGCACGGAACAGCTCTAACTGGAGTTCAGGCTTTAAGTAGCTCAAAGAAGCAATTCTTCTTTTCTAGTTCAACATAGAATCACAGACTGGTTTGGGTTGGAAGGGACCTTAAAGATCATCCAGTTCCAACCCCCCTGCCATGGGCAGGGACACCTTCTACTAGACCAGGTTGCTCCAAGCATCATCCAGCCTGACCTTGGACACTTCCAGGGATGGGGCATCCACAGCTTCTCTGGGCAACCTGTCCCAGTGCCTCACCACCCTCTCCATGAAGAACTTCTTCCTGATATCTGATCTAAACCTCCCAGCTTTGAATTTAAACCCGTTACCCCTTGTCCTCTCACTCCCTGCCCTTGTAAAAAGTCCCCCCCAGCTTCCTTGTAGCCCCTTCAGGCACAGGAAGGTGCTCTAAGGTCTCCCCGGAGCCTTCTCTTCTCCAGGCTGAACAAGCCCAACTCTCTCCGCCTGTCCCCACAGCAGAGGGGCTCCAGCCCTCTGAGCATCTTCGTGGCCTCCTCTGGACTCGCTCCAACCCGTTTATATCTTTCTGATGTTGAGGGTTCCACAGATAGAGGCATTACTCCAGCAGAGTATTATTCTTATGCTTCATATGCACAGAAGACATTAGTGAAGATAAACTGTGCAACTGGTAATTGAAATTAAAGTTACAACATTTCTTATGGCAGCATCTACCGTGCCACATCTTGAACACACAGAGAATGAAATGGCTTTTGTGTATGAAGCACCAAACACGGTACCCACTGGAACAAAAATGCATTAAAAATGTAATGAAATGCCTTTACACAATGTAAAATTTCCTAAAATTACCCACATTGTCATTACCAGTCTTCTACCATCTTGACAGATACAATCAGTAAAACCCCAGTATAATTCTGGGAGAAACATTAGAGAAAAGCATGTCTTGTTCTAAAACTCAAAAAGCTGCACAGAATTCACAGTAAAGATACCTGTCCAAAAATCCAGTTTGCTTCCGAAAGTATTGATGTTTGTAATGTCTGCTCATCTAAAAAGGAGAAATCTGCATGATCTTTGAAAGAATTCTTTAAAAGCACCTTCCTAACAAAATTTCAGAAGATAGCAAACATAGTTCTGAGACTTCAAAATTAGGATTTTTAAATGAAATAATATGTAGATAAACTGTATCATCTTTCCAATCCAAGTAACCATTAAGAGTGATTACAGTAGCAATAAAGCTATGTTAAAAGGGCCACCAATGTTAAAGCATGCCTCTGGGACCATGCTGAGCATTCCAGCTCTTTATAAATTTTTTTTGCAAATCAACAACTATTTAAAAGACTGTAAAATTTGCTTGTCATGATCACATCAGTAAACAAAAGCTTTTCCAATATTTTAACTGATTAACACTGTAACTGCTATTTTATGTCATACTAAAAAAAGAAAAACTACCCACAGATTACACCATGTCTCGCTGGGGCATCTCTTTTTTTTTGGAGATAATCTGAAGCTCCCGTCTCGGAAATCACAGTGCAGAGTATTTTGTAGCAAGGGAGAACTAGAAAGATGCAGATGAAGATCAACTTCCTATTTCCAGGGTGCTACATATTACATATAAAGATGATTCCTGAGACATGACAAATTTGGCTCCATTGTCTGTCCAAACCTGATGAGGTATGTAAAATGTTGGTCCGCAAAAGGAAAGTAATAAAGATATTTCTTTATAAAATACCTGTTTTCCTACCTTCTACCTGAGATCAGGACTACATCAGCAGGTGTTTAAAATCTGACTGTAACTCAGCTGAACTAGAGGACCGGATCAAAGCACGTTTATGCAAGGTGCTACCGCAGTCAGATGCAGCTTACTAAGTATTTAAGACATATAAACACGTGGTACTGTAAATCACTACAAACCCAAACAGCTAGCGAGATCTCTGCAAATGCCTCCTGGATAAAGATACATTATATGCTGCATTCATTTTCTAATGAGAAACATTCAGGGGGTTTATTATTATTAATTGCATATAAATTACCCTGATTTTTGTATCACTCGGAAAGTATTTAGCCATTCACCTCTCAGAGGAACAATGCCGACCGAAGGCAATGAATGCATGGCATATAGGAGCGATGCAGAGCACAGAAATTTATGCATGCCATTTAAAAGGCATGGCATTTAGACTACTAGCAAAAAAATCAAAAGCCTGCCATAAATCTTTAATTGTAAGTAAAAAAAGCCCAACTAATGGTTCGCCAAGTCCTTGACACTATTTAAGCAAGAACACTTCCTGCTTCTGAGTGCAAAATCTCCTTAACTCACGTATCTGCATGTATCCCCAACCTCCTCTGAAGTGTTCTGTTGCAAAATTCATTGTATCCAAGATCTGCTAATCATCATCAGGAAACTCTGTTATGCATCTTAAGGACGTACTTTAGACTCTCAAGAGGAAAAATAAACATGTTTTATTAGCTGCTTTTGGAAAATACTGATTTGTATTTATTTAGAAACCTTTTCAAGTTGCACCACTGTTAAATTAAATATTTATGGCATGATTTTCCGAAGAGTTTAACACCTGTTAAGAGTTTAACACGCTGATTTCAACAGGAGCTCTGAGTGCCCGACATTTCTGCAAACCTCAGAAGCGCCAAGGTTCGGATGTGGCAAAGCAGCTTGAGCGCGGATGTTACTCCCAAGCCCTAAAACGCAACCAGGATCCCGACCAGCCCCTACTGCCCATTGCAGAATTACATTCCAGACCACCGAATCAGCTGTATTTTACTAGAAGTACCAGAAATATGACTCATTAATACCTGTTAAATCCAAATAAAGCATAGGCTAAATGTTGTCAGTTAATTCTCAGTGCGTCTTCGCTTTCCTTCACTAGTGGAAAACTTGCGTGCTTGAGTCATTAAACATCACCTGAAGTAGCAACTTAGAGAGGAGACTAAAATCCACAGTGAGTCAAGAACTGGAAAGCAAAGCTGTTGGTATTACGGGTGAGAGGTTGAAGGAGGATGAAACTATCTTGGCAAAATACAGAATAAAGAAGGCACAGCAGAGAAAGAAAAGATGTTTGGTACATTGAAAAAACCTGTATCCTGGTGAGAGCAAAGCCAGAGCTTGGCTTCTTGGCCAAAACTGAAGACCGTGGCACCGGCCTCAGTGTCAAACAAGGTCAAAATAAGAGGTTGGGTCTAGTCATCCTTATTTTGCTTCGCTTCTGAGGGATGTGCCCTTACTACCACTCCCAGCTTCATGTTTTCAGGTATCCTACACCTCCCAGTCTTGCACTGGAAGATGATTTCTCACAGCTGGTGGCTGGCTGTCCTCCTGCCCTCCCTGGTACTTCACCTCATTGCAACACATGCCTAAATCTGAACTACGCTGCAAAGACATCATCTTACATTTCAGAATCAAACACTTAAATCTCCTCGTGGTGTTTGGCCTATATTTCTGGAAGCAAAAAAACCCAATGTCTTTTAAGGCAGTAAATCAATGAAATAAATAAATAAATGATTGTCATCTAAATAGGACATTGCTATACATAGGCACAATTCCAGAGATCATCCAACATAATTTTATAAACTGAAAGCGAATAAAATAGTTGAATACTGCAGATAGGACACATCAATCTCCTTATACACTTTACAGCACACTACAGATCGGCCCAGCAAGTCAAATACTTTACTCATTAAAACAGTTGCTTTCAACACACTATAAAACATTTGCAAACGCAGACCAGAAAACCGACAAGAGTATTTACTGTAAAGCTTTATATTTGTGTCCTCAATTAACAACAAAAGTTTGGAATAAAACTAAAATAAAAGCTAATCAAAACAGTTAGCTGTCAAAACAGATGGGAACTATATTTTTCAAATCAAGCAAAAAGCCAAAGCTTTCGAACATTTAGTGTCGTGTCAGCTGACACAGACAACGTAGAAAGAAAGGACAGCAAATGTCAGGAGTATATGAAGAAAA